TCCCATATACTTCTGGATCTCAGTACTTTGCCCCTGACTGTTACCATTCTGTCAGTTAACTACATGAAATATTCTCATGTAACTGTGGTGTGCGAGTTTATACATGAACTTGACACACCTGATAGATGTGAACTTGTGCATTGGGTGTTTTAACACCACACAACTTTTTACTTTTAGTCTTTTTTTTTTGTTTCAAAATTGGTCAGGGGGAAGGTCTTAGGCCTGCCTACCCGCTGAAAGTGGTCAAAACCCAAAGCCCTTTATTTAGAATATTAGGGCTTGCCAATATGATATGATGCCCCCAACATGGGGTGTATAATATCGAAATTTGAAACTTTATTTCAAAGACCATTTTGCTGTTTTAAACTAGTTTTTTTTTTTTCAAAAGCACTAGCTCTTACATGTTTTTCTCAACAAAGGCTGGTAGTGACTTGCACTGAACTTGCAGCTGATCTTCAAATGTTTTTTTATCAGAAAAAGTAAATTTATTTTATTAAATTAAAAGTAGGAATTTACAACTTGATTGTCTGTAGTGTCAATCCCTTTATAACCCAAGTTACATGGATGCCCAAAACAATTGTTGCCTCATAATCCCTTGTTTTTCTAAGGAGTCATCTAACCCATTTGCACTCCTCCTAATCCATTTGAATTCAACCTCTTGTTCTCCTGCTAGTTTTTCCACTTCTCTTAGCATGTGTTGTAGGGTCCAAGGGATATGCATTTTTCCCATGAGATGACCACTTGTAAGTCTCCTTCTGCCTCTATCATTCTAAAACCCAGCTGTTTAGCTAGTCTGAGACCTTGCAAAAGAGCCAACAGTTCGGCCTTAAAAGAGTTTCCCAAACCAATTGGCCCTGAAAACATTGCTGCAATCCTCCTGAGTTTCTGATGACCCCTCCTATACTATCCATGCCCGGGTTTCCGAGGGAAGTCCCGAAGTTTTGTTTTACTTTATTACCTGTTGGGGGTTTCCACTCCATACAAACTGTCTTTTACCCTCGAAGAATGTGTTGTTTCAGTCCTGGCCCTTGATAAATCTGTTACTGAGATGGTTTTGAAGATGTCTAAGGTCTTCACCCAAAAGGTTACCTTTGTTTTTATACTATAACTTCCTCCAAGGACCTACTCTTCTCCAAGAAGGTTATACTATTCCTCTCTTCCCACACCATCTAGTAAATTGCTGCCTTAGTGGCCTCCAAACTCCAAAGCACTTTCCCCGTTTTCTTTGGTTGCCTCAAGAAGTTAGGACTGAAAAGACCTGCCACATCTTGAGGGGGGCCCCACCAGATTTTAAGCAAAAAGGAACAGGAGGTTAGTAGATGGGTTAGGGTCTCACCACTACCCTACATAAGAAGCACATGTGAGTTGAAAGACACACAAAAGGCCTTATTTTTTGCAACATATCACAAATATTTACCTTTCCAAGACAAATTTACCAGCAAAAAGCTCGAATTTTAAGTGGGATAGGCTTACTCCAAATTTCTTTCACTAGGCTTGATGGTTAGATGAGGCAAGGGACTTAAAGAAGGAAGAACAAGTAAATAGGTCATCTGGGATGCAAGAGGTTGAAAGGAAATAAATGGGAAGATTTGCTATAGTGGCTCTTATAGAGTAATTCTTCCACCCAAAGAGATGTAATTCCGTTTCCACAGGGCTTCCTAGCAAACCGTTTTACCACTGGCTTCCAAAATCCATCATATATAGGGTTCCCTCCCAAAGGCAAGCCTAAGTATATGATAGGCCAAGCTCTAATCTCACATTCTAGTATCTCAGCAAACCTCTGCAAGTCCCATGCATCCAAATTTATTCCTGTAACCCCACTTTTCCTCCAAATAATCCTCAACCCTAACAATCCCACAAAATTATTAATCAGTACCTTCAAATTTCTAACCATTTCTAGATCAACATCCTCACAGAACAAGATTGTGTCATCAACAAGTTGGAGATGGGAGACTACCACTTGGTTTCCACCTACCCTCCAACCCCTAATCAAACCCTGTAAATCTGCTTTCACCACCAGTCTGCTTAGTACCTTTACCACCAAGGTGAATGGGAAAGGGGATAGGGGGTCTCATTGCCTTATTCCTCGCTTAGTACCTTACTCTAATCTTCAAATTTTGTTCTTTACAATGGATGTTTTTGTAATTTTCATCATTGTTGGTGTCAGCCCATGGAATCTTGAATGGGCAATTTGGTAATTTCAATTTCATCATTATCCCATTAACTGATATGGGGTGAAGTGGTGGGATCTAAAAGTACAAGAGGCCTTTGTTGCAAAAAAAGTTTGGGGCCAAGTGTAACAACCCCTTAAGTAAGAATTTGTGTTGTTGATGGCAGTAATGGCTACTTGCAAAATTAAAAGAAGATAGAGAGAGAAAGAAGAGAGAAAACCTAGAAGCACTCTAGGGCATCTGAATCACCTTTAGGAGAAGACATAAGAACCATGGTTCAGAAACATCCCTAAAATCTCCCCATTTTGCTAGGGAGCAAAATGAAATTTTCCAATAATCTTTTTTTCCTAACATCTCTGTTATTTTTCCAATATGTTGGTGATATTTCAGATTTCATTGGTAGACTATACTCTTAAGACTTAAAATTTTAGAATATTATTAGAAACCTTTTTTGATATTTCATTAAAATCATTCGTAATTATTTTTTTTCCTAAAAGAACAAATGGAGATTTTCTGATTGGATGATTGGTTTACTGTTTTGATATTATTCACCAAGTTATATGATACAAAAGAAAAGAAAAAAAAGGCACACAAAAGGAGGATTCTCAATCTAATCAAAATGTATAGAAAAAAAAATGACAATCAAAATGACAATATGACATGTAATGAAGATAAGGTCGGTGAAAGACAAGGGAGACAGGAAAAATACCAATTTAAGTCTCGTAATCTTCTCTTGTTTGACCTACACGGTTGTTTGCTATGGATATTTTCAGCCTCAAGTGTGCTTATACTTCTAAGCATTCCTTAAAGGTATTAACTAATTGCATGCTTTTAGAAAAGCTCCTTGAGTTTTTTTAGATTTTCTAAATATCTTAATAAAATTATTAAAATATCCTCAAAATTTCCCCATCTCTGCATACTGAAATATCCATCAATATTGAAATTGCCAACCATGATGAGAACTCAAATAAACTAAGTTTATGGATGATAAGAAACAAACAATTATAGAATTGCTACTATCCTACTTTAGTTCAAAGAGAACTCTATAACTCCTGAACTACCCATGAAATGATACTGAAGCTTTAAACGTAACCAACTTTTAACTAGACAAATCAGAGGCTATGGTTGGACCCCATAAATTTGGAAATAACAAAAGTTCCCTATTGGCAATTTCACCCATTCCAAGTAACATTGACACGCCATATCAGGGCTTGTTGTAAGGTCTTCCTTCTAGAACCTTCTGGAGTGTTGATTAATTCATGCCACTACCCATGCAAGCAAATAAATAAACCAAAATAAAAACAACTAATAAACAGCAAACATCTTTCCTTAAGATCCACTTCCTAATACAAAATGCTGGTCTGAACTACCCTGGAAAGTCCGTGTAATGACTAATATTTAAGATAAACATAATGAAGTGAAACAATCAACCATTAGTCATTTTGCTGATAATAACACATTAATGAAGGGGAAGACTGTCCAAAAGCCATAGAGTGTTCCAAGAGCTTCTAGGTGGTAACTGGCTTTTTAGATATCTTGAGGGACCATTTATTATGGTATTCCTTCTTGCATAATGGAAGCAAGGAAGATGACATGCAGATTTTTTGGAGTGGAAGACCAATTGCATTGACTCCCTATTTGTGTGTTCCATTCTTTTCTTTTCTTTTTCTTTTTGTTTTTGACAATTAACGTGATCATAAGGAACTGATTAAAAAATGATCATGAGAACTTTATTAATAATCAGACAGCTGTAATCCAATATGCATATGCTATAATAAAATGAATAAGGTAGTTAATCTTGGAGGGGTGCTCCCCACCACAGTACAACTAAGGATTTTCCCTAGGATGGATGTTTTTATGTGGTTAGTGCTATTGGGCAAATGCTTAATCTTGGATCAGCAAAGAAAGCAGGAACTCAAGCTCTGCTGAATAGGTGTGTCATATGCAAAGAGGAAAACCACAGGCACTTTTCCCTTGCAGCAATGTATACCCAAGGGTATTTCAGCTCTTCTCCTCTTTGTTTCTGTGGTGGGTTTAGGGATTGCAGCTATGCCTCATGAAGTAATTCAAGAAAGGTTGTCTATTCCTTTCAAGGATGGAAGACAAGTGTTATGGATGTGCACACAATTTTTTTCAATTTATTTGGGGAACTTGAAGGAGCAAAACATGAGTATTCTGAAGGAATTTCAAAATCTCTACCAAGGATCAGAGGAAATATTTCTTGTAAATCAGGAATTGGGCTTTAGTTATGACTAAATTCAAGGATTTAGTGGATAAATGTTGATGAGGAATTGGAGTATAATATGAACAAGAAAAAGAATTTGGTCAGGAATTGTCAGATACTTCACAAATTTTACCATAAATTTTGTATCCAATACCATATCCAGGTAATATGTAAAAAAATACAAGGGCAACAAAGTGGAAAATAAGAAGGGATGGCACAAAAACTCCCACAAAGATTTAAGAAAAAAAGACCAATGCTCTTATCTATGCTGGTAAAATCTTAAGAATTCAGTAGAATATGCATATATAAGACAGAAATTAGGAACTTATTATTTTAACTCTTTTTCTTAGATGTAGCTGTATAGTTCCTTGCGTTGATGTTGAATGTTCTGACATCTTTAGGTTTTTTTCCTGTTAAGCTTTGATGGTGAAGCAGTGATATACATGTGATACTGTAGTTTCTATTTCTTTTTTCAGTATCCTTCACTCAAAAAAATTGGTTTTATCTGTAAAAGCAATATCAAATCAACAAGTTTCTAATTGAAAAACTTCTGGCAATTTATTACAAGACACATGGCTTCATTTCCTTATTTTTGTCTTTTGTAGGATGTTGATATTGATTCTCACTACAAGAAGTATAGCATGCATACAAGACAATCACTTGAAGCTTGGTCTGTTGTACAGCTTGATTTGGGTCTTGTGAGTATCATGACAAAATCTGTATTCTGTAAGCTTGTACTAACTATGCATTCTTGGACTAGCATTTAGATATTTTCATAAAGGCGGTCTGGTGGATGAGGAAGTTTACTTGCTTCTATTATACTTTTAGCATACATCCGTGGGGGTTGAAACCCTCCATTTGGTGAGTCCTGACAAGGACTTTGAAGCCAAGAATCAACTAGATGGGATTATATCCTATATGCGGTATTTGGGTTTCCCTTCAATGTAATAAATGCCTTGTGGTTGTCAAAGTTATACTGGCTGCTTGTTATTGGTAATGGCTCAGGTTGCATTGGGTAACAGTGAACTGACCTCCGAATCTGAAAATTTTGCTTTTCGGAGGTCAGGTAGTTTCTCAGTTAAACATCCAAATGCACCTCTAAATTCTGAACTTTCCTCTTAAATTATCAGAGGTCAAAGTCACCTCTAATTAAATTTGGCACTAAACTAAGAAATCCTTTGGACAATATTTTCCTTCTACTTTTTGTAATTGACCATGGAAGTCCAACATTTCCTTCCTATGTAATTTTTTTGGTAAGAACCTTCTCATATAATATAATATTGAGAGAAACAGTGGAGAGAATTGAGAATATGTGGTTGGGCCATCCTGATTGCATGATACATTTTTTTATAAATGAAGAATTTATTAGAGAAAGAAAATAGAAGCAACTTTTACAGGAGACATTGCATGATACATTTTTCAATACACACACACACAAAGGGGTCAAACTGTAAAACAGACATTTCCAGCATTTAGAATCCTGAACAGCTTCTCTACTTCCAGAGTGCCACAAGTGCAGTAAAACTATTTTTGACAGTTTGGAACTATTTTCAGAACTTCTTTGTTGCTCTTCAAGGATCATAGTTCAGATAAGCCAAACCTTTTGCTCAGAATCTCCTTTATTTAAGGAATGAGATCTATTTAGTTGTTTGTGCAACCTAACTCCATGAACATGTGCCACATTTACTGTGGATAGAGGATGAAGAGTTCCTCTATTCCCCTATCAGCTCATCTATTATTTTATATTTGTGTATGCATTTGTGTCTCAGGTACATTGTCATGATACTCAGCATTTTTTTTTAACTGAGACATTTTACTTTAAACAGGACAGGCATTAAGTACAATATTTCCTTTATTAATTATAAAACTTACCCATCTACTGTTGCTAATGTGTAGGTTGAATCAACAATTGAACATATTTGTCGCCATGAAGGTGATGGAGCTATTCTTGTTTTCATGACTGGTTGGGATGAGATATCTAAGCTGTTAGATAAAATTAAAGCTAACAGTTTTCTTGGAAATTCAAGCAAGTTTCTAGTTCTTCCACTGCATGGTTCAATGCCTACAATCAATCAACGTGAAATTTTTGACAGGCCACCAAGTAACATGAGGCAAGCACTCAGCTTGTAGTGCCTATATTTTAGGGTAGAAGTTCATAAAAGATATAAATTATTTATTTATTCATGTACATCTTCAACCTTTTGGTTCTTTTTCGTACTATTTATTGTGCTTGGTCATTATTTCTGGACCTGTAAAGGTAATTGTTTCTATAGCATGAACTTCCTTGTGAGAAATATGAAAAATAAATGATGTTAATCAAATCTGGAAAATAATGTAGAGGAAATTAATGGCTGTAACTTTTGAATGTGTGAGAGAAAACTACCACTAGCTGGATCATTACAAGTTTCTTGACGCACCATGGCTTCAAGGGCTGGCAATGACTTTGGATTGCTATGGTCTATATGTTTGTGCAATACAAATACCTGAGTGAAAAAATAAAGTAAGTTACAACTAACAGCCAGAGGGTAGGCTAATACCTTTTCTGATACACTTGTCAGGGAGGGGGGGGGGAATGGGACAGACAGAAATCGTATTGGGAAACCAGGCCCTGGGGCTACCCTCTGGCTGCCATCTATTTATTCTGATGGTAAACTGGATGTAAGGTAATCATTGTATGGATGTTGGAAATACTAGGAAGGTGGACGAAAGAGGTAATCATTCAAATGCAAGATTTGAAACTCAGACAAGAAATTTCAGTGTTTGATTGTCTGATCTTTCCTAACAGGGAAGGCGGCAAGAAAAAAGAGTTGGGGGGAGAGATGAGGATGGAAAGGTCGAGAAAAGGTGTGGAAATGCTGGGGGTAGCTGCAGGTGCTTTTGTCTCAAAGCAAAAAGAAGTGGTGGGGCCCAATGGTTTTGGAAGACATGCCACTACTGGGAGCTATGCTGTTTCAAACCCAACTAAGGACGTTGCTTTGAAGCCTATGGAGTCTGATTGCAGTCAACCCAACTGAACCAAACCAAAAAGAACTGTTATGTTTTGGGAATTTTGGTGACATCAACTAAGGAGGTAAGAAAAAGACAGGAAGTGACCTAGTTTGCAAATAGAACATGGGCAAAAGATGGCCGAGGGACTCTGGAGTAGCAAGTTCAGTGAAAATGCCTGTGCTGAAGAAGAAGAAGAAGAAGAAATGCTAGGTGGATGCAAAGAAGAGGAATCCAAGGCATGTCAGAGAGGAAGAAGTAGAAGCAAATTTTGATGATGTGGAAGGCTGTTCTTATGCAAGCTCAGGGGTTGGGATTTGGGAGTATACAAAGCAAACTTGCACCCCTACCTAGTGTATTGTAGCCACAGCCTAAAGTAAGACCTCCACCTCTCACTTCTTATTCCCAAAAACCCTCTGATTTTTTTCCGTCCATATTACCCAACTGACAACTGATGGAATAATGCTCAAAAGGGTCTGCCCTTTCTGATTTGAAACCACCAACTTCCAAGATTTCAGCAACTCAAGTAAACTTCTCAGTTGACACCAATTGGCACTTAAGAGCTTGTAGAAATGATTATACAAATAACCAACAACTCTACAGTGCATAAATAGGTGGTTCACCAGCTCCACAATCTAGCCATACATCAAACACTCTGAAGAGTCCGGAAACATATCCCTCCTTGTTAACAGGTCTTTGGTGAAACAGTTCCAATTCCAGCAGCAATAGCTGACAATAGTGAAAAATAAAAAATCTAAAGAAATTTTCTTTGGAGAGGCTGGCAGGAGAAAGAAAAAATTCCTTTGGTGGACTGGGTGCGAGTGTGTAAACCAGAAGTATCTGGAGGTTTGGGGATTAGAAGGATGAAGGAAATTCACACAACCCTGTTTGAGAAATGGTTCTGGAGATTCAGCTCTGAACCAGACCAGATTTAGAGGCAAACTAGCATGGAGAAATTTGGTTCAAGAAATTTCAATTGGGACCCAGGCATCATCAATGGCTCCTATGGCTGTTCAATGTAGAAGGGTATTGGAAAATACTACAGAAAATTTGTACAAGGAATACAGATGAAGGTGGGAGTTGTGAAGAGTTAATTTCTGGAGAGATGTATGGTGTAATGGCAGGCTTTTGTAAAGAGACTGGGCCGAAGACATCCAGAGATAGTGCTGACTTATATGAGGTTGCATAGAGTTGACCAACCATCCAATGACTGTATAGTTCTCCTGCATCCATTTCTCAAATTCAGGGTCTGTCTCTTCGGGTTTTACTTTACTACCTGTGAGATACCTGAGTTTTCCTCTACTACAGACATAAATTCTTATGGACTGTGCCCAAGCAAGATAATTTGTCCCATCTAGCTTGATTGTGGTCACACCAGTCAAAACAAAATCTACCGAGCCGAGGCCGGAAACCGGCACTTGCTTGAACTCACTTCCATATGGCTCCATTAATCAAACGAAAATCAAAAAACCAGAAATTTGGTATATATAAACTTACTTGAAGTCAAACCAGAACCCATATGCTTGAAAACTAGGGTTTTACTCCGTCTAGCTGTTGGGGGGGGGGAGAAGAGAGAAGATGCAGCCACTCCTACCAGAGCTTCCCAATCTCTTCCAAACCTAAACAACCCTCTTTTAGGAGTCAAAAGACACCTCCCAAGCACAGAGCGCCACACCCAAAGCTTCACTTTTACCTGTACCTTCGAAAATCTCTAGTCGGCTAGTTTTGGGCAGCAACAGAACAACACCACTTCTTGGCAATATCCAGCCAGATCTAAACTCTCCAAACCCTCTACCAACTAGGCCAGAGATTCTCTGAGCTACAGAGAACCCGTCTCTCCATACATTCTCTTAATCGAAGGGTGTATGGGAAAAGAGGAAGAAGAAAAGAAGGAAGAAAGAAACCTGGCTCTGATACCAAGATGTAAACCAGTCCTCAAAATAGGTGTAAACTTAAAAAATTAGGAAGAAAAAGGAGGAAGAAAAGAGATGTAAACCAGTCCTCAAAATAGGTGTAACTTAAAAAATTAGGAAGAAAAAGGAAGAAAAGTAAGAGCAGCAGTACAAGAGAAGAAGATGGAGAAAAGAGGAGGAAAAAGAAGAAAGGTTTGAATAATCCTTCCCTCCCTTCTCTAATCCTTTTTACTAAAAATTAATGTTAAAATAATTACAAGTATGCCCTTAAGTGGGCGACCAGCTAGGTAGTAACATAAAGAGATCAAACAAAAAGAAATAACAGGCCCATTAAGAGAGGCCTATTAGCTAACAGGAAAATAGGAAGAATATTACAAGAGAAGATACTAGGACCCATTCGGCCCAGTCTCTTTACACTCCCCCTTAAGCTGATCATAGATGTCAATCATGCCCAACTTGCTTATATAGTGTGTCATTTTCCCTCTCGGAACTCCCTTGGTCAAGATATCAACCATTTGTTCTTCTAATGTGATGAATGGCAAACAAACTTTTCCTGAGGAAACTCTTTCCCTTATAAAATGTCTATCAACCTCAATGTGCTTAGTTCTGTCATGTTGAACAGGATTATGTGCAATATTGATAGCTGCTTGGTTGTAATAGTAGAGCATCATTTGCTTCTCATAGTCAACCCCCAATTCTTGTAAAAGGGATTGTAGCCACAGTAATTCTGACACACCATGTGTCATTGCCCTGTATTCTGCTTTAGCTGAGGATCTAGCAACTACAGACTATTTCTTACTCCTCCATGACACAATGTTCCCAGCGACCAGAGCACAATAACCCGAGGTGGATCTCCTATCATTAATACATCCTGCCCAATCAGCATTAGTGAAAGCTTCCAGCTTCATATGTCCATGTTTGGAAAATAGAATACCTTTCCTTGGAGTACCTTTCAAGTAACACAAAACCCTTTCTGCAGCAACTAAATGAGTATCTCTGGGAGAATGCATAAATTGACTAATAACACTTACTGCATTGGAAATATCTGGCCGAGTCATGCAAAGATATAATAACTTCCCAAGCAGTCTCTAAAACACCCCCTTATCAGATAAAAAGTCTACCATTTGTAGCAGAAAGCTTATGATTGGGATTAATAGGAGTGGAGATTGGTTTAGCTCCAAGTTTACCAGTCTCAGCAAGGAGGTCAAGGACRTATTTACGCTGAGAAATGAAGATACCATCCTTAGATCTAGCAACTTCAATGCCCAAAAAATACCGAAGATCTCCCAAATCCTTGATCTCAAATTCAAAGTTAAGAAATCTTTTAAGGTTATTGACCTCTTGAGTGTCATTACCCGTAACCACAATATCATCAACATAAACTATCAAAAAGGTCACTAGAGAGCCATTTCTCTTCAAGAACAGGGTATGACCAGATTGAGTTTGTGTGTAACCAAAGGAGACAAGAGCAGCCCTAAACCTCTCAAACCATGCCCGATGAGACTATTTGAGAACATAAATAGATTTCTGCAGTTTACACACCTTGCCTTGCATTTCCTTCCCATAC